CTAGAGATCCTATATGGAGAGATGGGCCAATGTCCGGCATGATGTTGTGAAACCGGAAATCACATGATCTTGGAAATGCGCGCTAATATATCAACGCCAATTTCGAAACATCACGTAACACTACTTGTTTATTATAACTTTGTTAACTCAAAGTTGTAATGAATAATTATTAGAGAAAGTTTATTTTTCGTAAATATAGAATTGTGGATAAAACAGACAAAATAGACAAAAACGTGCAAAACGTATTAAATTCGAATAAAAAAGTTGCTTTCCATTTACACACAGTGATACGAAATCTGAAGTGATATGAATATTTTATATTTAAACAATGACTTTACTACTTATTTATTTGGTGAAAACTTATCGCATAATAACACAGATTTCTAACCTCATATTTAATGTGAGTTAACAAGATTTAATAAATCATACGATCTCGAGTTTGTGCAGATTGTTGGCAAAAAGTCAATTGCCAGAATGAAAAAAAAAAACAATTTTAGGTTAATTTACATATAAAATGTATGTATGTATTTATAAATGAATTTTTATATATATTTATATATATATATTTTTTCCAAAAGTTCTAGTGATACATTTTTGATGATTTTAAACTTACTTACTGTAAAAGAGACTCGTCTAAGTTAATTTTTGTCTCTGACAATACTTCTTATAATCATAAGCAGACGACGCTCCTCTCACTCTCACATTCGCTTCTTTCACTTTCACATCCGGTTTCACAACATCATGGCAGAGCCAATCACGGATCAGTCGGCATTGGCCCATCTCTCCATATAGGATCTCTAATCGAGTTGCCACTACGAATGCTTTGAAGCGTTTCTTGATTGGTCAATTTGTAAAATTCTTTCTTTTGATTGGTCAATCAAACGCTTCAAAGCATTCGTAGTGGCAACTCGACCGCACCCATATACATTCTATAATTATGAATTTTACTTTCATAAGTCTGACATTACATAAAACATGCGCATTACATGTTTTAGCTATATAATTCAGTCCTTTCGGATGTTCAAATAAACACATAACACACACACAAAAATCTATTTTATTATAAAATAAAACGTAATATCGATATAAAATTAAGTTATGATATTTTGAAGAAATTAGTTGTGATGGACATTTTTTGGACTAGATAAAATCATCTTTGTTCAACAAACGATTGAATGACCGATTGAAACTGTGTTTTACCATGTTCTGATGGGAGAGAAGAGAAATAACGAATGAGGCTATGAAGAATTCCATAAATCACGTCTAGTTGTTAAAAAACTCGGAAAACGGAAGATCAGTAACTAATCAGAACTCGCGCTGGTAGCAAAAGTAGTATAGAATTAACAGAGATTCGACTACCAGTGCTCTTCCGCTTTCCGCTTTTCCGTCAAGGTGTGAACCCGCCCTTATAAGTGCCGTGGTTCTATATGCCTTATGTTTATTATATGCAATATGTTTATTATGTAATAATTAATTATTACAATTACCGATAATTATTGTAAATACTTACATATGTTATTATTACAATTATCGAAATAATTATTGTAAATATAGTTATTATATGTGTTATATCATGTAAATAATAACATAATAATATAGATATATAATAATTAATTACAATTGTAAATAATGATATATGATATTATATGTTATTATATATATTTACATGTTTGTATAAAATTCATTCAATTCAACATATTTGTAATATAAATTATATGCTTTAATTATACTCAATTATACTTCAAAATGTAATAAATGTTATTTCAATCTTCTCAAATTCTTTCATTCCAATATCTAGAGAGTAAATTTTATGCAGCCTGTAAAGCGCAGGATATATACAGTTTTATAGCGCTCTTACAGGGAGGGCTTTCCAAGCACTTTACAGGCGCTGTCGTGCTATATGTAGGAACTGCTGTAAATAAGCGATAAAATTGCATTTATTCTGCACTGACTGTATGCGCTTTTACAACGCTTTTTGTGCACTTCTCAGTAAACGAGAATGAATTAAAATGGATTGGACATTTTGTCTATTCGAATACGTATTTTAAACAGCGAAAACTTTTTTATTCAGTTGGATTCAATTAGATTTAATTCAATGCAATTGGATTGAAAAACTACGTTTTTTATTCAAAATTTTGATTGAACAGAGTATTCACGATGAAAAAGCTGATATTATTTTTAGATTGAAAGGCATACAGATTGTATATTGCTTCGTACAATTCCTATAAATCATGAACGTATGAATCATGGATGTCCATGCTATAAATGAATAAAAATGTATTCAGGATTGAAAAGGATTTATTTTAACATTCATGTGATTCTCCGCGCGCGCGTATTTCTGAAAATCTGAATACATTTTAATCAATTTCAATCCATATTTGCGTTTGCTGGGTTTGCAGGTACTTTTGTATTACGTAAAAACTCAGTATCTGAGAATGGATAATTGAAATGGATTAAAATGGAATCAAATTTTCAGAAATACGGATTCATGAATGTTAAAATGAATCCTTTTCAATCCGAATACGTTTTTATTCATTTATAGGAATTGCATGGAAATATCTGTATACTTTTCAATCTAAAATAATATCAGCTTTTTCAATGCGTTTGTGACCATAGTGAATACTGTATGTACAATTCAAAATTTTGAATTGGAATCGCAGTTTTTCAATTCAGTTGCATCCAATTGAATCTAATTGAATCCAATTGAATAAAAAAAAAAAAGTTTTCACTGTTTAAAATACGAATTCGAATAGACAAAATGTCCAATCCATTTTAATCCATTCTCGGAGATGCTGGGTTAATACATACATCTTTTATAAATTTTTGAAAGCAAAGAAATTCATTAAATAAGTTTTCATTATTAATAATCTTTATTATGTTACGAAAACGTAAAAATTCTACTGTTAAAGTTTTTTTACCATCCAGTCTCGAAAAATATTTCCTTTTTATATAAAACCCCGGACTCTCATGATTATCCCGAACGCTTTTTAAAAATCCCCCTCGGACGTCATAAAAAAAGAGGACGGATGGCAACCCTAAACCGTGTCCGGGAAAAAGAGGACAGATGGTAACCCTAAACTAAATACTCACCTGAGTATTTCCATGTATCGTCTTATCCTTGTCGTTCATCCATGTTAAATAAGGATAAGACAATGCACGGGCATACTGGAGTGATGTTTTTGAACGCAGTCAGGAGTTTCAAGCTTTTCTCTCTTTGGCGCCAATTACAAAAATCTTTTAAATGAATAATTATTGAATAATAAATAATTTTTTGTAAAAGCATTGCAGTGTGCATAGGCAGAGTGTTTGACGATATTAATATTGATACATTATAAAGATTTTCGTATAAATTTCTGCAGATATTATAGACACGAACAATCTTGAGTGTTATGGGAAATAGGTTAGAAAAACATCTCAGTGCTTCTGTATACTGACAGATTTTCATGTCTATAGAAGATTTTTGTATTATCTTATACGTATCATGATGTTAATTTCGACGATTAGAAAGAGTGTACCATGTAACCTGCGACGAATTGTCGCATGTGTCAGTTATAGAAATAAAATTCGAATGAAGGTCGCACGACAGTGTAACGAGACCAATTTGCTGTTTTGCTCGACCCCAAATGTTGCGACTTGCAGAATTTACAGCACTGAAGCAGATTCTGAACCGCGCTTTTCTTTGCCTATGCTTGTAACTAACGTTGAGCCATTCAAACCAAATTTTTTTATTCCGTTTCGTCTTCTTTTCTTGTCTTTTAGAACTATTCCACAGATAGATAAAGAGTTTTCTATATCCGAGACTGTCCAGGGAATCAAATACGTATGAGATTTTTTCATGATTAATTAAAAGCATGCTATAATATGCTCTAATACTAACAAGTATACACTTGTATTTTTAGGCAATAATAGTAATATCCAAGGCTTTAGCAAATGAAAACTATGATTCCTTAGAAGATCTTGTAGCAGAAGATATGATAGAAGTTTTAAGAACAAAGATCGAGACTCTCAGCTCTGAGCAAAAATGTTTAATTGCAGTAAATGAGGAAGATATTGCATTTCAAATTTTATGTGATATCTCAGCTGAGACAAGTAGCAAAATTATTATAAATTAATATCAATAATAATTCTACAGCATGCAGCAGATATATTTTTTGTTTGCAGATGAGGATCATTCCATTCAAGTTAAAACGATCTTCCATTATGTCCCAGGTATGATCAAGAAAAAGAAGCTGGAGTCTTTTACATTCACAGATATCTCTAATGTTAGAGATATGTTAATATGTAATTATACATTTACCCGTAAATATATAAATAATATTGGTGGTCCATGGATTGCGACTTTTGTAAATCATTATAGTATTAATGTTACGTCATAGTTTTGTTAGTATATTTGCATAATAGTTTGAAATAAAATTCGTGTTAATCTATTTCATTTTTTGTTACTATATAGAAAATAAGTGCTAACTATCTATATATCATTATTTATAAAAATAATGTGTTACACAATGATTTACATTATATCACGTTTCAGACATGTATATACATATGATACACAAATCATATTTTATTCATAAACGGAATATATTGATTCAGTTTGTACATTTTATATAAATATTAGCTATTGATATGTTCCAATATTAATGGAATATAATTTTTAATGTGCAGCAATGTTGCACCAATTCGTATCCCATTCTTGGAAACAGATATAACCAAAGGTCCCTGCAAAATAAAATATTCTGTAATATATTTACAACATATTTACTGTATGTAATGATCAAATTTATGCATTTAAAGTTACCTGACAGATCTGTGGATTATGTATCCAACATTCTTGTTTAGAACTTGCAGTTTGGAATAAATTGTTCTGTTTCGTGGGCACAGAATTAAAAAAATTCACTTCTAAATCTTCTAAATTACACACTGAAATCTTGATTACATTTAAGTATGGTTCCATAAATAACGAGACAACAACCATAGCAGAAATACTAGCTTGCTTGAAACATATTTCAATAGATTTAGTTGAGAAAGCTATTAATTTATTTAAATGATCTAACGTAGGTGATGGATCTCCTGAAATAATACAATGTTATATAATCGAATATAATAAAAGTACCAACACTAAGTAGAAATGTGTATGCACAATATTTATTATATCCCAAAATAAGATATAACAAATAAAGAAAATGGAATGTTTATTTTCTTTATATCGTTAGATATAATATATTTTATGTATACATACATCTACTGACATTTTGTTTAATGTCATATAACACATAAAAAATGTCTAATTTGTATTATAGAATACATTTTTGTAATTACTTTTGTAAATTGCATCAGTGAGTCGAAAGGGTTTAGTGATGGTTAAGCCAAACATTGGAATTTGATTACGTTCAGTTCCTTTTAATAATCTGTCTATTGCTGCAAATATAAATTTATCAATAATCAATTAGGAAATATTCAGACTATATGTATAAATTCCTTTGTGTCTTACATTTTCCTACTTCTTCAAATACTTTTGTGACTGGTATATTTTTACTGATATATTTACTCAGATGCATGGCATATAATCCGTACTTGCTGTTTGTTCTTTCGTAACTAGGACGATAACTAGATGTGGAGTATGCTTGTACTAAATTTCGTAGGTTTTTCCTGTTCTTATATTCTTTGACTTTTGGTATTTCGTTATGAATATCAGGATTACATTCTCTGAAAATTTTAATATACAATGTATCTGAACATTTGATTATATATACTATTAATATGGCCAGAATAGTTCTCAAATTATGTACGTAAAAAATAGATAATTGTAGAATTCCTTACTTTGGTGGAACAGTTTGGCACATGTCCAATATTGTTACTAAAAGAGCAGGATTGTTTTGCAATAATATACCTAACAATTCACTCTCACAAATTGCATCTGTTCTTAAATAAGATTCTGGTGCATCAACAGCAAGCATGTAACTTTCTTGCATTTTAAAACCATGTCCAGCATAATAAAATAATCCTACAATAACATAAACTTTAAAGGCATCATATATGTGTATATTTCCATACAGTATATTTGTTTTTTTAACTTACCGTAAACTCCTTCTTTTAAAACTTCACCAAATTTTTTTATAGCATTCTTCATTTGTTCAAGTGACAAGTTTACCAGACAGATTATTTTAAAATCGATTTCTTTTAACAGAATACCAATTTTTGCAGCATCGTTTTTAGGTGTCTCTAGACATATGTGATTTTCATACTCATCATTTGCAATGATTAAAGCTATTTTCGCTGTTGCTTTTTCACGAGGAAGGTCCAACTGTATCAATACATACATATGTATATATATATATATATATATACATTGTATACAATACACATACATACACACACATATATATATATATATATACAAATATATATCATCCTAATAAAAATTCATTTAATTTTTATTCTTATAAAATAATATAATATAATTTACCATTATATGACTTCTTTGAGTAATTATTTCGTTCACATCATTTTTTACATAACAATGATATTTTCCTTCATGTTTAGAACTGAACTGTTTTATCTGAAACATTTTTCTTTTCCTATTATGCAACCTTTTAATATTTATATTAATATATTGTGTACTTACATGTAATACGTTAGATACTTCTCCTTCTAATCTTGTATTATCTCTAAACCATTGAAAATAAGGTTCAGGATGACCCTGTGCTATACATTTAATTATCAAATCTTCACCTTCCTTAAGCTCCATGAAAGCAGGTGGTTGTTGCTGTATAACTACAGGTACATGAGATAAATTTACAAAAACTGATTTTGTTAGCAATATAGATATTACTACTTCTCCATCATTGATGACTTGTGAAATTTTGCAATTATATTCTCCAGCTTGATCACGGCTATATAAGAAATTTTATACAATAATTAATTGATCTGTCACACATCTCATAAATTGAGATGATATTTTTACCTATTTATAACAACATCAAGTTCACAACTTTGCTGTCTCTGTAGCTCAATATTATTATGATACCATTGATAATTCGGTGATGGTATACCCATAGCTTTGCAAGAAAGACGAAGGTGTTGGCCAAGAGATATTTCTAAAGTGTCATGTTCCAGATCGTCAGAGGGATGTTTAACAATTACTGATGGCTCTAATAATAATTTTAACAGTTTAACAATTATTATATGGAGTATTTCATGTATTATATATATATATATTGTCAAGAAATATATATGCACCTGGATAATGTAAAATAGATAAAGCATTGCCAAGTTCGCAATCTCTGAGAAATGTACATAATATTCCAACTGTACACATTTTTACATTGAGCTCAAATAGCAGATTATCTGCTGGCGTTTTTGTAGCATTGTTATTCTGTTCCAACAATTTTAACCACGAGTTCCTACGTGTGACATAAAGATTTATTAAGAATATACACTTGATTAATTTTTATCAAAAAGTTATTCGAATTGTTTATCTTTACCATTGATATCCAAATTGTTTGGCTACGTGACAGGCGAGTATTTGCCAACTTGAGTTTTTATTTAACTCGTAAATTAATTCGTTGTACATTCCTGATGGAATATGCTCTAAATACACGTCTTCATTGATTTTTGCCATTTTCAATATAATTGTATATATTAATTCTTTTGCACAATTGGAACGCAAAAATGTAATCTTAACAACGTAATGACTTCCTCACTGTCAAATGGGCGTTATTAAATACTTATAGTAACGCATTTTCCTTAATATGAAAGGAAGGAAAATAATGTATAAAACGTCATCATGCTTCAGAGAAATACATTGCGTTTATTTCAATTATTTTTTTTTACAATTTACTTATCAAGAATACAGCAATATTTCATGAAAAAGTACAAAATTTAGTGTAAAAATGTAAATTATATCTAATTTCTATTTTTAGATATTATTATTTCTCTTTTTGTACATTTTTTTAAGTAAAAATATAGATCTGTCTTTAATAACTGAACTAGTGCACACTTTCTGTACTTAAAGTAAAATAGAAATATCGTTTGACGTTTGGTGAAAACAAGAAGGAAAATTCTAGTAGCTTGGAGTGAAAGAACAAAAAACGATAATTTATTTTTTTAGATAATTAAGTCTGTTCGTGTTGCTTGGTCTTGTCGCAATCGACATCATCTCTCTCTCTTTTCAACATTTAAAATGTATGTTTATCTCGTTTTACGGGTAAACATTTTTGGAAATTTCAAGTAACGCGAACAGACTGGAACAGACCTAACCTCAGCGATTAGTCGTTTTTAGTAAGAAATTATTACCGAGTGCGCAATCACAAAATGGTAAGTGACTAGGGAACTTATTCTTACAAGTCTTGGAGTTTTCGTTACGGCGACGGCCGCGAGAGGGCGGCGATCGTCGCGCGGCCAGTCGACTGCCGCGAAGTTGCAGCTCCTGCGCAATGCGCGTGGCGCGCTGCGCCGCATGATCTTGCGTATCAGTGTTCGCCAGTGCCATCCGGAAGGCACACATCAGGTTACGCGGGGAACCAGCGCGATAATCGTAATCCGTGCGAGAACTCGCGGAGAGCCAGTGGTGCGTCGTCTAAACGAGGGGGGAAGAAAAACAAGGAAACGGGTCGCGCGAGGGCGACGGACGGTGTTCGGCGACGATAGGGTGGCTGGTCATCGGCGGCGATACAGTGGTGGTTGGTGGTGGCGGCGGCGGTGGTGGTGGTGGTGGGTGCTCCGGGTTCCGCGAGTGTCCGCGAAAAACTAGTGCCGCGAGCCATCATGGCGAACCCACGGAAATTCAGTGAAAAGATCGCGCTGCTGAACCAGAAGGAGGCGCAGGACTCGGCCGCATTCGAGGCGATCATGAAGGAGGTCTCGAACGTCACGAGCAGAGTAAGGAAATAACAGTATTATCCTTTGGCGTGGGTGGCTCGGTGCCGTGCCGCGATCGCGCCGTGACCCGTCGTGCACCTCCCTCAGCTCAGATGTTAGAACGTAAACAACGGGTGTCTCCCCCCGCGCTCTCCCCCCCCCCTCTGCCCCC